ACGTGTGATTGTGATAGTCATAATTACAAAAGACGGTTAACAATCGTTAGATTCAGTGACGCATATGGTAAAATTTTGCCGCGATCGACCCGGGTTCGAATCTGCCTTTTGGCGAACTTTTTTTTCTCCCTTTTCAAATTTCAAATAACATCAGAAGTCCTCGTCCCTTGAGGGAGTTGTGATTGAGGACGCGGTTCAGCCTCAGTCGTGTTGCCAGATACACGTATTATAAGCTTCTATGGATTTTATCTTTTTTTCTTTTTCACTTAATTTAGGAAGTGAATAAAGTGGGAGGTTGCAAGTTAGGGACAGCGATATCTTTATATTATTTCCATAATTCAAGATTTGGACTAATTGCGGTTTATTTATTTTTAGATTGTTTTGTTTGTTTTTCAATATCTGGCAACGCCGGAATTTAAACTGACAGTAATCAAAAACAACCAGGTTAAAAACAGCGCGGTCAGGTTATTCCTGACAGGATGCAATTTGGTTACACAAACGTAATGATCATCATGATATATTATCTGTATAGGCTAAATATAATCTATAGCTATTTGCACTTAGTGTAAATCACTAAAAAATACTGCTATTTTCAGTTAGTGTAAATAGCCTCTATCACCCCCCCCCTTCCCCTGCCCCTGCCAGACAGAACACATTAATTGTTTGCGTTGCTCGAAATACTGAAAGAAAACCATAATTATGGAATTAGGGTGGGGGTTGGATATGAATATGGATGTATTTCTGAGGAGAACTGACTGTCTTCAGAAAAGTTTCGATGGCATTTTCTTTTTCCTCTTACCTTAGTTAAATACATATTAAAGGAGTGCTAATAAGCGCAGCGCTGCGTAGGCTACAGCAATAACCCAGGAAACGCTGCTATGTTCTATAAGCGACACCTGGTTTCAGAGATTGAATTTGCATTTTCATCAGAATCAGAAAGAGCTTTATTGCCAAGTGTGTTTACACACACAAGGAATTCATCTTGGTGTCAGGACTTCCAGGTACAGCC